AGTGGTTTATGAGCAGGAATGAGAAGTTCCAAGAGCCTGCGGGAGGAACTAAGGAAAATAAATTAGTCATGAAGTCAGAAAACAAAGTCTGTGACCTTTCTAAAGCCAATGTTACAGTCGAAGATGAGATAGAGGCCCGTAACATGAAGCTACCTAGTGCCTTGCCAACACATCTGCTGGGGAATGTTTTTCATTTTTATCAGAAGCAGCTAACTTGGATGTGGTAACACCTAGTTACTGATTCTGACACCAGAGAAGGTAAATCTGGACTCAGACTCATATTTGCATAGCAAATGAGAGATCCTTATCTCTGTTTTGAAATGTACATTGCCAAGCTCTTCTAAAACTGCCTGGTGTATGTGGTTTTGAGCAGAATGATAGATGTTTTCCAAATGTGGGATCACAGTTTGACCTTTAAGTTTCATGTGTGTTGTGTGCTTTCATTCTTCTTTTTTCCTTGTGATGCTCAATAAATATTTCAGGAAAAAAAGAGAGTCCTTCTCTGAGGAAATGAAGAAATGCCTTGTAAGGACTAGAAAGGGAGACTAGGAGCCCTTGATTTTGCTGTATGACTTTTATGTGACCAATAGTACATCCACCAGAGGAATTGATGTAATGTTATTCCTGTGGGATTAAGATAAAGCTTTGGGAATGTCAGAAATGCTCATTTGGGATCTTCAAAAGCATAAAGAAGGTGATGAAAATTGAAGAGCACAGTGGTGTTTGAAGTGGGACCACAGAAAAATAAAGTAAGAGGGAAATGCTTTTGGGAGGGTCAGATTACAGAAGTTTGTGCTCAGTATCTACCATGATGTTTCTGGTTCCTATCCTGTAATTCAAACCAGGCATTTCTTACAGAAATAGACAATCATTGGATGCCCACCAGGCACCGAGGCTTTGCTGCAGATAATTATGATCTGATGAATGAGCTGCATCTTGGGCTGGGCTCTAACAATGTCTTGCCAGGAGCTCTGCCATCCCACAGGGAAGGAGCTGATACTCTCCAGCTTCTCCAGTATTGCTCTGGCTGAGATCCACACATGGTCCCAGCTCTGCCTGGGAGCACGTAGCCATCAGTAGTTCCTGCAGCAATAGTTGTGTAAGGATGCTGGGTGATCAAAGAGTGAGCTAATTAGCTTGGATGGATCAGCAAATTGTGGTGCCTGCAAAACCAGATGACTCCTGGTTTATGCCCTCTCCAAATGGTCAGATGTGCCCTCTGATGGCTGCTGGTGCTGGGTCAGAGCCGTTTGACACTGATGTAGCCCGAGGTGGAAGCTCTGAGATGTCCAACAGGGGTGTGTGCCCAGGAGCCCAGGGGAGTGGTGCTCACCCAGGCGTGAGGAGCAATCCATGGAGCCGCCGCGGGATGAATCTGATGGTTTATGGTTCAGGAGCCGTGCTCTGATTAAATGATCTGCTTTTTGCATAGCAGATACTAACAAACTCTGCAAGGCTGGGGACTCCTTCAAACTGCATGAATGAGTTTGCTGATGATTTGCCAAAATACACAGATTATTCTCCTATGGTGCATTGGTTTAATTAGGGCTACAGGGAACCACCTGACTTTGCCTAAAAATCCTGCCAGCTCTATCAGCAGGTAACCTGCTCTGCACCAAGACTAGCAGAACTGCAGACTGTTGATTGCTATTTGTGTTACAGGAGCTTTCAAAATTCCCTTTTAGGATCAGGCAGTGCTTTGCTCAGTAATCAAAACTTTCCAGTGCTTCTTTTACAAAGCATGAGGCACCTCACTGGCATTTGGCTTGCCTTTAGCTTTTTGATGTATTCTGTGTGCTTACTGTGCTGACTTGAAACTTGCACAAGGCAGAGGCATTATAAAATTAGCAGAGAGGGACAGATGAAAAAAGTAAATAAAGTCTTTGTTTTGTGTTATGTAGCACCAATCTGTGCCAGTCTGATTTCTACACAGAAACTTTAAATAGAAGTGTATGTTTTCCTTTGAAATATCCCAGAAAAAGAAACCAAAGATATCCCAAAATAGTTAGTGAACTACAATAGCTTGATGAAAGTGTCTTTACAGTGTTTCACTGTGCTTTGAATTCTTTGAGATTTACCCAGCCTTCTTCATCACCCTCTATAAATGCTGAATCACTGTAGGACATTTAACAAGACTTAATTCATTCACTGCCTTCAGTTCAGGAGCTGTGATTATGGGATGGTCTCTGTGTACTTTTTTTCTTCTATGCAGCAATTTAATTTTAGATGTACTGATCTAAGAACAACAGGAGATTAACTCTGGCTTTTCTTATGTTGATATGAACCAGGATGTCCTGCTGAAGTACATGGAGATGCAGTGCTGGAAAAGTACTTGCAGTCTTTTCCAGAGTTGTGCATATTTATTGCACAGCCATCTGAACACGTATCTCCGTTGTCTGGCTATCTGTGCTTTCAAACACTAAGTTTCAAAGTTGTGAGCTGCTCTCAAGCCTGGAGCTTTCTGATTGCACAGGCTGGTTGGTCATCTTCTGCCCTATATATTGAGCTGCATTAGCTTGACTCTGTTCTCCTGTTGAAGTAAGAGGTGAAAATGTGGAGAATCTGAGCTAGGGATTGTGTTGGCCCTTTCACTGTGTGCATTTTCATGAACCTCTGAGAACACAACATTTGTTTGGATCTTCTATCTCTAACAGCTTCCTGAAACAAATACGTATGATTTTGACTGTGCTGAAAAAAAGGAAGAGCCTCTGTTTCAGCATATTATTCATGTGCAGTGAGACACTCCTAGCAAAGTACATTTTAGGTCAGAGGAAGATGCTGGGTGAAGAGAGCTTGGACTCATCCTTATTAATGAAACCAACACCCAGAGCTTTGAATTGGCCTGCTGTCTGCAGAAAAATCCAGGATCCCAAGAGAACCAAGCAGCTTTTTACAGTGCTTGTGCTTTTCTGTTCATTCACAGTTTGTTTGTTAGATGTCATTTGCATGAATAGTCAAACAGTGTTTTAATTCTGTTCCATCAATGTTTTCAAGCCAAGATTCCCTTTGGCACACAACAGTGATACAGTTGTTCGGTTACTCAACGATTGTTAAAAGAGGCTTAGGTTAAATTCTAGAAGTTAATGAGAGAGTGGTGTGCACCAATTTGGATTATGCTTTATTAACTAATTAAATACTTATTTACATGCTGTGTTTACTGTCCTCTATGCACAGCAGTTTTTGTTTAATACTCATTTCATGTACAGGTAATTTACAGCTTATTTCAACCTCATATCCTCGATGTGAGTACTCTCTTCTCACCACACAAAGAGGGAGGCAAATTAATATCCCTGCCTCCCTTGACAGCATTCAAGGGTCTTTTTCCTGGGTGAAAGAATTTTTGTAAAGCAAAACGTGTTTACGTCGTACCTCTTTATAATCTGTGTTGAGCAATGGTACTCAAAGTAAAAAAAGAGCATTTTTAAAATTTCAGAATATAAAGTTAGTATTCTAAAGTTTTATTTAAACATGCAAAGAGATCTGATGATCTGATTTCTAGAGGGGTTTTTTACAAAGCAGATTTGAACATAATCATCTCCTTCCACCCCACAAGGAAAACAGAAGCCCCTGAGGCCACTCATAGCCATGGGCTCCTCATCCACCATCTTAATCCAAGGTTCTGCTTGCTCATCAACCAGTAACGAGCTTGCATCCCAGGCATCCCCCAGAATGTTCCCCAGGTGCCCTGGAGGGTGTGAGCCTCCTCCTGGAGCTGTGGTTCAGCAGGACACTCAGGACTGTTGAAAACTTGGATGCCTACCAGGCATAAAATAAGGCTCTTCTGTCAAAAAATACTGATGAAACAAATTAAATTCACTTTAAAATGTCAGTAGGGATTGCTTACCGAAACCTACACTGATGTATTTAATTTTAATGGTTTTTGAAGAGATAAAATATAGGCCATTAAAACTGGGGCTGATTGAAGGAGCAGGACATTATTTACCATGTTTCAAATGAAAAGTTCCCTTAAAGTTATTTATTAGCTTGAAGTAATGAATCTAGTTTGCAGGAATAAATGAAATCTAGGTCCAGCCAGCAAAACAGCTCAGTTTGGTGCAACCTTTACCAAGGGAAGGAGGTTTTAGGGAAGGAACTTGCCTTGCAGGGATCTCATCTGCCTCTTCTAATTTGTAAAGCTAAACCCCTGCCATTTGGCCAAGTCTCATGCAGTCTTCATCACTGAATACTTAAATCAGCCTTGTTAACAGTTAATATTTGCCCAGCTTGCCTGTAGCAGTGTTTCCTAAGTAATTGTTATTCATCCACATTTCATTCTCTACTCTAAATATTTACAATTTTCTTTTCAGTGTTCCTGGGGTGATTTCCCTGTGTATGTGTTCAGTTATGTAGCTCTGGTATAAAAAAAAAGAAGACAATTTTAACTTGCTGTCATTTTTTAGCTTTTGTTCTACTTGCAAAGTTTAACACTGATGAGTTTTGACACACAATAAAGGCAGCTCATGTGCCTGACCAGCTTTTTAGGGGAGACACATCCTCTTGGCAGAGTGTGATGTGATGGGTCCCAGATGGAAGAGTTACAGGGTGCAGCTGAGCTGATCCAATGAATGGCTCTCAGGAGAGAGGTCCTGTCTCTCTTCTCACTCATCTCCTTCCCTATGCATGGTCCTGCTCAGCAGAGAGATATTTAGGATTTTGCCTGGATTGCCCTGCTCCAGGTTCCAGTGGGTATACATGGGTCAGCTCAGCTGCATCGTGTGGGTGCACCATGATGCTTCCAAGTGCAATTAGGCTGGCATTTATAAACCTGTTAATCTGAAGTCTCTGAGTATATATTTATTTGAAATTATTCCCTAAATTATGGCCTGTTGGGAGACTACAGCATGGTTTGGGAAAAAGCCCATTCCCTGTCTCATTAGTGGAGTTTTTCATGTTTTAAATATGATCACAAAGTGGTGTCTGGCCTAATGACAGCATAAAAGGTACTGGCTGTATCACTGCCTTCATAGTTACCATTGTTAAAGCACTGAACTCTTTTGCAGGTTAATGAAATTTATCATGATGAGTCCCTGGGTGCTCACATTAATGTTGTCTTGGTGAGGATAATCCTGCTGAGCTACGGCAAGGTAAGGAAAGGTTAATTTAAATGGAGGATATCAATATCTGTAGACTTCATTATTTTATGAACAGTTACTGGGGACATTTATTTATTTTGTATTTTAATTCATATATATTATCCTTACTAGTCTGCGAATATAAAGAACTTTCATGTTTATATATATATGCTTATCATTTAAACTTTACATTTCAAATAATTTCCATTTCTTCTGGGTTTTCCCTGTGTCATTTGAAGTTACTGCTCAGCTCTGGCAGTCTGTCTTTTCACATTTGTTTGAAATAGTCCATGAAACATAGAGAACATTTTAGTTCCTAAAGAAAACACAACGTGTTCTGGTTCAACTGTATGTAAGTAACAGTAAGCACAAGGTCAGCCCTGCAAGATGCTGAGGGCTATGGCCACTTTCTAAGAACTCATTTATACTTGTGCTTATTATCAGGGGAACTACAGCTGTGCTTAAAGTTAAATGGATATTCTGTGGAATAGGGGCCAGAAGGTAAGAGCTCTGCAGATCAAATCTGTAATTAAAAATATCAAGTGTTCTTTCTCTCAGTTTCTGTGGAAGGGGTTGCTCCACAGACAAAACTTGGGTAAAGGGGGACAAAATGTTAAATGGGCTTCAAAAGTATTTATCTGTTCAGTACCTGTGTCCTGTTACTGCCAAGTCAACATCAGCTTCCATGGGAACAAGAACAGGACATTTCAAGTATGTTGATAACTGCTTTGGTTAAGGACACGTGCTGTTAGAGCTTCCAATGCAGCATCAGGCCCAGCTGCTCAGAGCAGTGTTAATGTCTAATGCACCTTCCTGTGACTGGAGTGCTGGGATTTCCATGTTCATGTAGAAAACCTGGATTCTGGATGACTCCATGTCTGTTCATGGAAGTTGCTGGAATGCTGTCAGCAAAGAGCCAGTGCAGATGGTGAAGCTCCACTGGCATTCACCAGCTTACCCCGCTCAATACCAGCTGAGAATTTTCCTCCCTGGTGCAGATGAGGGAGCTCTCAGGTTTAGTCTGGACTCTGCAGGAGACTGATTACCTGGATAAAGGTTAAATCTTTTTGTTGGAGCTTCCTCGTCTGAGAACTAAACACACCAATCCATCTCTGCTTTTCCTGCAGTGTTGTTGATGATGATGATGATATAGTTATGCACTTTGGATAAGCTTAATCAGATATATGTCCTAAAGTAAAAGGTAAAAAAAGGTCATATTTGCCATTTTGTGATTGAAAGTTCAGAGAGTGTGCAGTTAACATTGAATTACAAAATGGTTGAAATATCCTTGTGATTGTTGTTATGGCAAAAATTTGATTGCAGGTTGACTTATGAATCTCATACAAATCTGATGTTGCAATAGTGGTAGAAGCAGTGGAATTAGTACCTGGGCTAGTGACTTCTTTGCAGTCCTTAGCTCATGGGTATTTTATAACTGTTGTGTTTATTATTATTCATCTTTAGCCCTATAGATCTACCTCAATGTGAGCTCTGCTTATTTCTGCCAGTTTCCAGATGGCATACAGTGGCTACAGCAGTCATAATTCCATTTTAAGGATATTTGTTTTCTTGTGAAGAGCAAAGCTTTGTCCATTTATAATTTGAAAGTTATGAGTTTCATATTCTCTTGAGAGGAGAGTTGAGGTGGAGGACAGAAGCCATCATTTCTTGGCAGGTCTTTGGCCACATCACAGAAGTAGCATTTGCAGGTCTGTGTAATCTGCCTGTGGATATTCTACTTTTGGATTCTACATCTACAATCTGCAGTGGACAGTGCTTTAGCTTCTGAGTTGTCCTGCTGGTTTCAGTGGAATAATTCTGCTATCACAAGTTTTCCCCAAAGATAATTTTTCTTGCATTTCCATATATGATTCTTGTTTACAAGAAAGACAATCTATTGCTTTCAAAAGATAGTAAAAAGTATATATACAAGATATCATTCCAGAGCTCCTCTACTTTATGGTGTGGGAACCTGCATGCCATGGCTGTATAGGAATACATCCTTTGCTGTTCATGTTTTTAAAGTTCCTCATCAGAGGAGTCCTGTAATAGGGAGTAGAAGGTGAGGAGATTTTTCTTTAAACATTTGGGATAATTTAGCAGTGGAAAAGCAGAGAGAAGTGTATAATTCCTATTTTCTGAACCTGTTCTGAGGAATTAGAACAAAGCCTTGAATATTTTACTTTCCCACACATGACCACTAACAATTTTTAGGAAAATATATATTCAAAACACATAGTATTAAGTAGAGTACGTGTACAAGTTAAGGCAGTGCATGAATGAAGCAGCGTGGTTGGCTTCACAACATGAAAATGTTATTCCAGTCTTGTTTGAGTAAGCATTTCTTTTGAAAGCATGGAGCTAATATCTTCAGATTCATTTGCTTCACTGCAGGCAATTTATATATATTATCAAGGGTGCCATTTAAATAATCATAATAATTACATTATGGTTCTGTAATTGATGAAGTATGTACCATCAACGTCAGGTTTATGACAGCACTCTCAGCTATTGCCAATTCTCCACCCCTGAGCAGCCTTCTACTGTATTGTGGGTTTATCAGATGATTATATTATTTTATACAATATGTCATCTGTTGATAAGAATAATACGGACAATATTTGAGTTGCATAGCAACCAACCTTTCACTGGTTCTTGCTTGAAGGTACTCCACTCTTTCAAATGTACTTATTTTTTAATATTCTCAAACACAGGCAACTGTACATGAAGAAGTTTCAGTAATTTCAGGAATAGCATTAATTGCCCTGGTAAAAAAACTGAAGATATTCCTTAGTGATCACATGCTGAAATTACTTCAGGGACGAATTCAAAAGATCTGACATGGTTTTACTGAATTAGCACTTAGTGTGAGTTATCACCTCAGGACTTTGAGGGGGTGGCAGGCTGAGCCCTGCCAGGAGCACCAGGCTCGGGCTGGGTGGTGTGTTTGGGTGTTTGGGGAGCAGGCAGTGTGGCTGGGCTGGGGTGGCTTTGCAGGACCTGCAGGAGCTGCCAGCCCTTCCCTGACTCGCCACTTTTCCATTAGTACTTTCAACAAATGATGTATACAGACCGATGTGAAGGCTTCAGCTGTGCCTTGCTGCTGCCCACTCATTTATCAATTCCATCATAAGGATAGAAAAATGTGCTCTGCAAAGGGTGCTCCATATTTGCGTTGGCTTCAGAAGCCACGGTGCATTTCTCTGCATTTTCTTGACATTGACTTCCAAAGTCACTGGCTTTTCTGATGTGATGGGATACTGCAAATAAGTGAACAGAGTACATGGAGTGCATTTTTCTTCATATGGGAAAAAGATGAGCTGGCTTGCTTCTGCCTTTTTGACTTCAGTAGTAGGAAGATTGGTTCCAAATTTTGGCAACTGTGGATGTATTTGAGATTAATATAATTCAATGTTTGTGCAAATTATTCCACTTAGACCTATTTTGGTTGTAACAGCTCTGTAATACAGCTAGCTCTAGAATACTCAGGGATATAAGCAAAGCAACCACGAGCACCAAGTGCAGAGGAGGTTGCAAGAGATGAGCTGAGCATGCATTTAAAAACCCTGACTGGTTATTCTAAAATTTGTTTGGAAACATTTAAATACTGAGCACTGCATAAAATCCTCTCATCGCCTCTTTGAGGTGAATGAATAAAGATTATTATTCCCATTTTACAGCTAAAAAAACAAAGATGTTAAGTGTTATTTTCCAAGGCCACACGGAAGGCCACTGGCAGGCTGGGGATAAGACCTCATAAATTCCTGGCTCCAGCCCCACGCTCTGTCCACTGACAATGGTGACTCTGTGTGCAGATGAGCTGCCCTTGCACAGCACAGAGGAAAGCACATGTTAGCTGGGATGGATGTAATTAATACAGTGATTAATGAAAAAACACTTGGAAATAATTTTGCAGGGACTGCAGGAGTTTCAATAAATGCAGCCACCTGAGGATTTGTGAGGGTTATTTCTTCATTTGGGACAGGGCTTTACCTTCGATATTTTCATAAAATGATGCTCTCTTTATCTCTGCCATCTGACCTTTTCATGTCTGAGTTTGATGTAAGCAGGGGAGATGTTCTTGGTTCAGCCAGGATGGAAGTGCTGGTTCAGTCTGAGTCAGGTTCTTTCTCTCTGTTTCCCATAGGCAGCCTTGGAAATACAAATCTGATTTATTCCTTAAATATGGTGTTTGTCCTTATTATTTTGCTGTTGACCCTGTTATTTCCCTGGATGGATGAGCACCTCCACTTACCTCTGCCTCTCCCAGGAAGATGCAAAGACTCTGGCTGAGAGCACCTGTGCCTAGCAATGCACGGAGGTTGTTAGCTGCACTATAGGGCCATGGAATAGCTGTGCTTGGAATGGACCTCTGGACACCATCTAGTCCAACTGCCCTGCTCAAAGCAAGGTCACCTGGAGCAGGTTGTTCAGGACTTTGTCCAGCTTGGTTTTGAATATTTCCAGAGACTCTATAGCCTCTCTGGACAACCCTTCCCAATGTTTGGCCACTCTTATGGTATAACTACAGTAACACTCCTAAAGGCTTTTTTTCTTGCCCATTGCCATTTTTCTTTTCTCTGAATCCCACAGAGAAGACTGTCTCAGCCAATTTTTTCCCCTACCCAATAAGTATTTATATATATTGAGATTTTCCTGAGCTTCCTGCAGCCTCTCCTTGTACTAGGTCACAAGTGTGAGTTGAGTATCTTATTTTTCCACTGACATTGGTAGATGCAGAAGACCATAAACAATCAGCAGGAATCAAGCCCTGATCTTACAAATGCGTCTGAGGATGAAGTTGTTGACCCCAAATATATGGGTATTTGGCCATATCCAGTAACCAGTTCTGCACAGGCTGAGTTGCAAGGCCAGGATTTACATATGATGTAGCATTTTGTCAGCTGTTCATGTTTTTTCACTTTATTCATATGTTTCATTTGGGGATGAAGAGATATTTCCCCTCCTGTTTTTTATCTGTGTGAATTGTTGAATTTCCTTATTTATATATT